TATCGAAATTAGAAGAAATGTGCACTCTTTTTAATTATAAGAAATGTGTTTGTCTAAGGTACATGAACTTTTGGGATTGACTGTATAGCCAATACATCCTTAAACGAATGAAACGTAAGTGCGATTCATTTATATAGTTTTAATTTACATTTCGTTATATATATGTACTGACTTTTACCACATTCACTACGATGAATTTACTCGCACAACTATATTAGACAGTGACAATAAAATTATCGCCAAGAATGATAGAATTAACGTTTCGTCGACGTTACGTTTTTAAATATACTGATATGCTAGTTCCTGACATGTCTTCTCTTTCTTAAATTCATTTTCCGATTAGCAATTATATGTATACATGTCGTTTCCATTGTTACCAGAAAGAAAGTACACGCTTCCCTTTCACCGAAGTATCAATGAATAGCTGACAACTAAGAGAAACACGTCGACTCGATAGAAAGAAGATATGAAACGATAATCGTACGTGAATGAAAACTGGATCAATATTGAGAGCTGACCGAAGGCATCAAGTCATTACTCTACTGATTGTCAAATACAATCTTTGTCCACCGTTTCGCAAATGTCCCTCGATTACTTTTAATATCAACGTTCGTCCAAGGAAATTAATACTGCTCGATTGAGCTTAAGATCGTGAAAAATCAATGATCAGTAATCCCAACGCACCATCGCGTTGAAAATAATCATCGACAGCGTTTAACGTCTGTCGACGAATTACGACTTTAATCATCAATAGGCTGCGGATTCTTATATAAAATAAAATATTTAAAAATAGGATTTTGCATATTTCCCATCATACATACATATAACTATTTTGATATCCCATCCGCTTTTGATACTTCGTTTAAATCCGCAGCCTAATCATCAGTTTGTCGTAACGAACGAAACGAGGATCTATTGGTAGGATACTCGTTTAAACTATTCTTTAAGAACGAACCAGCGTTCCGATAAGACTGTTTGAAATTTCGATCACGCGCTACCATTGCAAACACGGCGCGATCGATCCTCTCTCTCTCTCTCTCTCTCTCTTTCTCTCTCCTCTTTCCGTGATCGAATTTTCTTGGTAAATTCGACGTAAACGCACGCGGGTCGAAACACAGAGAAAACGGACGAACGAGGGTTCATGGACAGAAATGGACGGGGTTGGAAACACGTTGGCTCGTGTCCAGCGCGAAAGGACTCGCCGTGTTTGCGTCCGGGTATCGGGTATCTCTACCTTCGACTAACGTCAGGGGATCTAATTATAAATTCTGAATTCAAATTTCGATGGAATCATTATCGTAATCACGAGATTTCTGCCTTACTGTCACAAATGCTTCGGACAGAGGTCATAATTTATCCACTCTAGCAAAAGAGATGTTCGTCTCTATATAGTATACTTTACATAAAATTAACGATAACTGGAAAGTTCAACATTTATGCAAGTAAGGTAGCATCTCGAATTCAACACGACGAACGAGATGAAATTCTTATTATTAAATAATCAACGTTCACGTTAAGAGTTTCGACATTCCTTGTTGCTATATTTTTCAATCTCGAAATACCGCGTAAACCTGTTTCTCTGGAATTGAATCCAAGGAGAGATTAAATTTTGTTCAGGAATCATCTATATATCTGCTCATTTCCTTTTTTTTTTTTGATCGCGGTTAAAATATTCAGTAGTCTCGTTTTAATTACGTCTCTTATCATCTAGAAAAGTAACTTGAAGACGGGGATAATTACGTGTTTTACTATTGATAAGTAGGTGATAAATTCATTTAGTGGGTGTGTCGTTTACGGCAGATTAATCAAAGTTGAACTACTTAGCCTAGATGCTCTTGGCTCGATCTCTAGAGACATGCGATAGAGATCTTTCTCGCTCAACAATAATGACGGGTCCAACAGGTAGTTGGTGACCTTCGTCATCAGTTCAATCTTGTACGGCGTCTGTTGGAAGTGACGTATTTCACGGATCACATGAGCAACCTGAAAATCAAATCACTCGATCAAGTTTCGTCGTTTTACATCTCATTTCTCATATTCTAATTATTCGAATGAAAATTTGATTGAAACATGATTTTAATGAAATTATTCATCATATAAGACTGGATTTAATCAACATGATTCATTATCTGAAAAATTACGTGAGATTTATTAACTTATGTACCATTCGCATTTTTGAGAAGTTTAGAAGGCCATCGTCGGTCATGGCTGGCGTACCCTCTTCTATGAACGACAGATCGGTCAAATACAATCCTAAATAAGGGATGCAAGGTGGATCGCAATGGTGCAACACTTCTCTCAAGTTTCGAAACCGACTATCTGAGGACACTATGTTTTGCAGCTTCTCAATTGTCTGCTTCGTCTGTGAACAGATCGAAACAATTTTCTCGGTGCATAAAAAAGTGACATGATTCAAGATTCATATTTAGCAAAATCCACAGTGATTAAAAATCAGCTGCGAATTTTGTTCTCTAAAATGTGTGCTCGTTTCATACATTCAATTTTTGTATAATTCCATAAAATCTGCAGTCTATATAGTTAATGTAATAAATTTCATGAGATTTTACCGTTTTCGACACTTTCTCCCATGTCTTCTTTAATCGGAACACGCTGCTGTTCGTGAATGCGGCGCAGATCTGCAACACGCCGTTGTAATTATGCAAAACTCTGTTGATATCCGCGACTGCGGCCCATTTCTCGATCGCCGCAACCCTTGCCGAGAGGTTCGAGCGGCGAATGATTTCCGACACGACCAATTGCGAGACTTCGTTGAATCTCTTCGTCATCAAGAGTAAGTGCGGGGCGCGCGTAGCTTTGTCAGCCTTCATCCATGCTTGTCCAAGGAATTCTCTGATTACGCAAAAAAAAAAAAAATAATAATGTACGATCCATTCAGATAAAATCGATTTCATTAGAAATTAGGATATCGGTTACTTACTCGCTGGAGATAGAAATAAAAATCTTATGGTCCAAATACGTCATCTGCTCTGCAATCTCAAGCGCGGATAAAGTCTCGATATTCTCTTTGGTCGGCACCTAAAAATATTAACACTCTCAATTTTAAATAAGTTTTATACATTTAAATAAAGTCTAAAGAATGTAGAAAATCATACAGACGTATTGTTTAAACATTGACAGTCTAATAGTACGAAACAAAATTTACGTACGGAAGGGGGACTTAGCAATTTCCTCAAGTCGACTTTGTTACTCTCGGGTTTAGTGATCAATCTGAGGAGTTGATTCGCGGCTTTGTGTTCAGCCGGTAGGAGATTGGGGCAGTAGGTGATGTCCTCCAGGAACTCTTTCGTCAGTTTTTTCAATTTCGGATTAGACTCGAAGTCTTGACCGTGTTTAGAGATCCAGTGCCTAAGAACGTTGAGCACTCGCATCGTGGCCGCCGTTGAAATGACCGACTCCTTCCGTCTATTCTTTTCCCGATCACTGCCCCTGTCTATGTCCGGTGGATTACTGGACGCGGACGTTGCGATCGCGAACGCAGTAGCAGCCGTGGCCGTGCTACTCCTATATATTTAAGAATTTATTCATTTTTGTACCAAAATCTTCAGTGTGCATTAAATATTACATTCCTTGTCGTTCGTTCATTTCACGTTTTGTACGTTAATCACTTATTTAATTTGAACTCTTGTATTCCTTTTGTCGCAAGTCTTACATCAAACGCGTTACGCAATAGTGAACGATTATATGTGAGGAGAACAGAAAATATTTTCCCTTCCTGCTTATATCTACAAACTACGTAGCACATGTACTTTACTCTATGTTCATTCTGCAATCATTCGAAATACGCTGAACGTGAAGATCATTAGAGTCTCTAAAATATTTTACAGCTGAAGCATCGCAGTCTTTTACGTACAGCATAATTCTCATAGGCGTCGTTGAAAATGAATTGGCACAATTTGTGATTCAATGTTTCATTATAATTTTCCATTTCTCTAGCACGTTGTTGAAAGAAGAGGATTTGAACGATGATATCAGCCTATTGCGAATGATTCTTCTAATCTATTATCTAATGTGCACTAGTGTGCGTTTTGCCGTCTAGTCAACTAACAAATACCAACAATGCCACAGCGGTATCCAGTTGCCATACTAAATACAAATGTCGTGAACATCATCGCCGCGAACGTCCAGTGATACAAGGCGTTTAAAAAAATTTTCAACTATTTCTATTTCGTTTATCTCGCACATGATGCAGTGAAAAGAGAAAGCAACGATGCGTGAATAAAATATTTATCAAGACGATTTTTCTATGTTTTCATAAAAATATGTCGAATAATTTTACGAAGTTATAAAAATATAAAAGTGTTTGGAAAAAATTTCATATTATTAAAGTACATAATTTCGATTTTATGAGGGATTTTGTTTTGTATAAGTAAAATTCAAGCACGCATGCATTTGAAATTTTATTAAAAATATCTTTTACAGATTTATAAAAATTGTTTAGAAGAAAACCTTGAAGTGTGGTACACCATGAATTATCAACACTCTTTGAATCGAACTTTCTGAATTTATGTATTAATCAGTCATGAATTGGAATAAAAATAGATGAATTGAATGAAATGTTTAATTCGTTCACATTGTGCAGACACAGAGAGAGAGAGCATACAGAGTGGCTTGGTGACATACAGTTCGTCATGCACCATGTACAATGGATATTGCCCAGTGTGTGTTTCAAAAGCAGTAAATGACGATACTTACCATATCGGTACAGGTCCAATGCTATAAGTGACACAAAACGCCATATGAAATACAATTGCATTAAAAGGACCAAAGAAATATTTTCCTGGATTTAAGGAATTCATTTTCACGACTTGTACAAACGACGTCGTATTCGAAACAATAGACAAATATACATATATATAAAGTAAGCACCTTGATTTACAAACACCATCGAAATTACATTGCCATTAAAAACTGTTGCCTAAAGAAAAGACGATCTTCATAGAATTGTCAGTTGTATTAGAAATTATAATTCATTGTTAACAACAGATCTCGATTAATCGAATAGAAAAATTTTTCATTTGTACATCTGCTTAAATGTAATTAAAAAGAAATTAAACTAGAGTTTGTGAAGTCATATTTGGTATAAGTTCTTATAGAAATAAACAGTGATGAACAAGATGGATGTTGAACTAAAGGGAAAAATATATTTTAATGTAAATAAGATAAGATACACAAACTTTCCAATAATCATCGTATGCATTGAGTCAACGGTCTCAATTTCAAGTCACTTTTATAATTTTTAGTAAATCTGTACATTATTACATTCTCTTTCTTATCTGAATTACTTGAACGTATTATAAAACACTTGCGAAACAGTTAATTTTAATTCCATGCCAATCGCAGTTTTGAGACCGTTGCTAAAATAGGAAGTTCATAAATGAATAGATCGAAATGAAGATAGAAAGATACGAATATCTCAGTCTACGAAAGAAAAGGAAGATTGATTGTAGGCGGAAGAAAGAAAACACGTAAGAATACCGAGACGAAGCACTCATGCGTAAGAAAGTGAAAAATACCTTTATTACAATTAACATTCAATAGCGATACCGATGAAACGAAATAGAGATAATTCTTTTTCCCCTCTCTCATCTGTTTCAAGATATACAAACGCCTATACAAATCATGTTTCTCTGTTTAATCACATACGAATCTCGCGTTGGATCGTCATCATATTTCATGGTACTATCGTTCTACCTGTCGTTGGCTCGATACATCATCACTGTCTTCGAAGCGTTGCATGCCATCGTTCTCTCTTTTCATATCGAGCGATTACAATAAACGATCATCAATTTTGTTCAATCGTATAATCGACCGATCGGCATGCGCACTCGTTTTTTTTTTTTTTATATGATGTGTACAACAACGTATGGGTGGTAAACACTTAAACACGTCAGGAATACTGGAACGAACCTTCGTTGACTCTGCCTGGAGCTGGTTATCACCACTCCGGCTCTGCTTGATATCTGGTCCTGTTGGAAGTTGCTTTGCGAATACATTTCCGACTCTTGTATTGATCGCCTGGTTGACCAATAATTCTGCGAAATATAAATTTTCAACGTCAATTCACGAGCATTTTCTATCCACCGTTGAACTGACTCCTCGAAGATATTTATAACTATTTTATTGATTACCAGACCGCCATTGATTGAATAATTAGATAATTATGAGCAGAGGCCAAAATGTGACGAGCGATAAAAATGATAAATATTTGTGCGATAATATGTTTAAACAGAAACGAAAGTGACATATAAGTGTTGATCAACGTACTCCAGTTATGGTAGAAATGGAACTGCTCCTTCCAGTAACCGTGGGCGCGGAAGCGACCGACCCTCTGTGATCGTAAAGATGCGACGTCTCGTGTTTCTGCTGACCTAACTGAGGAGACTGGGACTGAATTAGAAATAAATTATTAGTATTGACGATAAACGTTTGTAAATAAATTGTTCCTCTCAGGAGTCTTACAGTGGCTCCGGGCGCAGATGCGATCGACGCTCTGTGCTCGTAACGATGAGAATAATGTTGAATCTCTGGTCTCGAGTGTTGAAGTTGTTGAGGAGACGGAGGCGGTACAGGAGAACTACTTTCAGATTCGGCTTGTTTCTCTTTCTCCTCTCTGGCTACTTCAGATTGTGCCTCGGCTCTCTTTTCTTTCGGTGTCTGAGGAGTCTCCGTGAATGTTTCCTGTTTTTCTAATTTCGGCGTCTCGGGCTCGGAATCCTCACAACTTGATTGTCCGATTGCTGCTTCAAGCATTGGAACGTAGTATGACGAAGACACACAAAGGACGTTGTTCAAATTAAAACATGTTATGGACTTACCACCCTTTGGATGGTCGGTCGTTACTAGCGTGTCAGTGTCCGTGGAAGCACCCCGTGAATAAGTACCCCCGTCCTGAGGGCTACGATCGGATCCAGAACCTGATCCTGATCCTGTCGATCCGACCAACGTAACAGAGCTTAGATTACTCGGAGACGAGGGTGCACTGACCATAGTATTATCTGAAATATTATTATTCGTACGTTCATAGAAGTACTGATTAAACAAATGAATAATTGTTACCTGTGAGAGTCTCGGAGCTCGACGAACCGCCAATGACTTTTGGTATGGTCAAATGACAGCCGTCGTCCTCTTCCTTCTTCTCCTCCTTCTCTTCCTTCTTCTCCTCTTTCTCTTCCTTCACGCGAACACCAGTTTTCCGTGGCGTCGTCGGAGATTGAGAATCACTGGACACGGTGGACGACACTATAGTCGGGCTCTGTTTGATTATCGGAGGAGTCTCTGTGATCAGACCTAATTGCTCCTCGTCCACTTAAATAATTAATCGATAATTACACATTCATTCTAACACCGTTAATTCGTAAAGATCGTATTGTGATCTAGTTACCTCTTTTATAAGCACCACCCTTCCAGTACCCTTTCGAATTGAGCGTGTACCCGCTGCCGCACTCAGAGGAATGACTCTTCCCTTCGCCACTTATTTCAGATCCATACCCTGTATAAAAAATGTTACGTTTTATTTTAATCAAAGGAGGCTCGTTCCAAGAGACAAACGGATTTAATGAGTCTCGAAATATGACTGCTAAATCAGCTGAATTATTATTGAAAATAATCCTACCAGAGACTGTGCTGGCACCACTGATTCTTCGTGGCGAGATATAACTCCTTCTGTCATCCACGTGCAGTTGCGAGTCCGTCGCATTTCCTGCTAGTGCATCTAAAGATCTAAAAAAAATATAATAAATACTCATTAGTTCGTTCTGTAATAATAGATCGATTATTATGTCAACTTACACGAAAGATCCTGTCGGCATTTCAGCGTCGCTTAGGTCGGACTCGTAAAATACTCTCTTCAAAGCTTCTAACACTATGACTCCATCGGTGAATACGCGATACGTTAACAGGAACGTGTTCAGGAAATCTATGCTGAGGAATCTCAAGTCCGTCAGCCTTTGAAGCAGACGCTCGGGCGTGGCCGAACGAATCTGAGGTAACTTGCAGGAATTCAAATTCCCGCTAAATCTGATGTCTACGTCGTCTTTGAACAACCTCGGGTCGCTTCTAATGGATTGAGGCATCGTGACGGAACTAGTGTCCGGCAACGAGCCTCGTAGCAGGTCGTTGAAGTGAACGTTGTCCATGCACTGGCTGATATCGCTGATCCAAGCCGCTTTATCCTATTCGGCAAATTCAAAGTCAATCCTTCTCGCGAATATAATTCACAATTATGTATGAATTAAATAATTCACAATTTATTATAAGTCTTTTTTGTAGTGGATTCTTTAAAAATATTTTTTGCAGTGGATTCAATTGTAAACATTTTTGTTCTATAATATCACGATCGTGAATTGTACCTCGATAGTATGGGCGACGAGATGTATCGAGACTTGCGGTCCACCGGATTTCAAGTCGAATATTATCTTAAAGTCGCGGTTCTGCAATTGGGTGCTGACACTACCGCTACCACTCCCACTGCTCTCGCTGATACCGCTGGACATCGAACATACTGACAGTTCTAAAATCAGTTCGCAGTCGCGGCAATACTACATTAATTATATGTAAATATATTTGACACAAGTTTCGCACTAAACGGATCAGCCAAATGCTTAGTTAGCCGGTGCAGCCCTTAAGCGTCAACAAAAATCTGCAGCGTCGCAAATAAACGAAGACGAAGAGAGGAAAAATGTTTCGAAACGAAACGGCTATAAAATGTGAGGAAATAAACATTTCTGCATTCTGTATTAAATAATTGATTAATAATAATTGCGGCAACGTAGCTGGAAAGAAGCGTCAAACGAGATGATTTAATTATTATAATACCGTCATCATCCGCGGTGCTCTGATCGTGGGGATCTTCCACTAGCTTCGCATCGGCGAGCGGTATCTTGCCAATATGCGGAACAAGATTCACACGGCCATCGTCGTCCGACTGACGCGTTGTCAACAGTAAATGATTGGTGAAGAGGAAACACTTCCTGAGTGCCTCTTTCTCGCTTCCGCTCTTTCCTCCGAAAGTCGCGCTCAATCTGCTTCGTGCGCCTTTCGGCTTATCTAAAATTTGGATGAGCGTACCTGAAAAAAAATAATTATTTACAGTTCATTCTCTCGTCGTATCTCTATTGACTATTAAAATGTATTGTTAGTACATTAACATCAACGCACGACGCATATAACGGTAATTAGAGATTAGAACGTGAAACACGTTTGATTCGTATTAAAATTCTGTTCAATGATCAACATAAATTGCAACGTTCACGAAGTAATTATAATTTTGGCATCTGTCTATTTACACGTAAGTGGAATTCTATAAAATATGCTTCCTACCCTTATCGAGGATTACACTCGTGTGTACAAAAATAAGAAATGCAATTACGGTGTACCTGAATATCCTTGATCCCTGTCAGTGCTAATTTGCACAGTTTCTTGGTCCCTGTTTTCCTCTACCGAATCTAACACAATTCTTACGAAATGATCTACGCTATCACATTTTCGGCTGTTCACCAATTACAAGGCTCACGCACGTTTGTATTTACTCGCTCTTCTCCTCGTCGGCTCCATAACGCGATACGAAATTTTGAGTACGAGTTCAATCAGTCCTCCGGCAAAAGCGTTATAAACGTAGAAAATTTCGATTCACGGTGTCGAGGGGAAAAATTTCGCGGGCGGGGCTTTTCCTATACGCTATAAAGACGAAGGGACGTTTACGTAGTGGCCATGTGATGCGATATCAAACACGAGGGATCAGGGCCGTGTGAATGAGAGAACGTACGCGCTTCCTCTTTGCGTAGAAATTCTTCCCGTTAAATTATTATAACGCGAGGACCAGATCAATAATAAATTCGTCTGCGCATACATGTTTATTATTGTTTCTGTAATAATTAATTTGAATCTAAATTAATGCCTGGATCGAGTGCAGAGAGATATATGTTATTTGAAAACGTCTTTAAAGTTTATATATTGTTAAATGTGTCGTCTAATAAAGTTCTGAAGATTTATTTCATGAAATATTTTGATAATCTGTTGGCACGTCGTTGAGGCAGCCCTGGTGATAGTCGTTGCGCATGATCGAAGATATTCGGCGTAGAACGCGTACGAAATATTCAACCCCATCGATTCCGAGGCACGTCAGGGGTGCGCGCTTGCGCTCGCGGCCACGAATTCTCGGCTTCTCATGGACTCCCTTACCAAACCATAAGCACGAAATTAATCGCGCGAGACTTTACCGACCGGCGCCAAGAATTTTCCATCGATTTTCCCCAAGGTAAAACGGAAACGGTGGGACGCGAGTATCGGTGATTCTTGAAGGAAAAGTAAATTCCTTCTTGGTAAAGAGATTTATGTTATCAATCACCGAAACAATGGCTTTAAGATCGTATTTCAGTCCATCGAGGAGAGATTCGAGGATTCCGAGTAATTTCACCTCTGCGTTCAGTCATAGAATTTCCATATAATTCTTTTCATAATTATTGATCATAATCTATCCACGTAGTTGGAGATAAAAAATTTTGTAATTCGACTAAATTTGAAAAACAATACGCATCACAATTCTCGAGTTTATGGATTCTAAAAGATTGGAACTGCTCACCCTGTCTGACGAACACTTGATTAACGTCCAGTAGAATATCGCAGCCTTCCACGATCATTCGTTCGACAGCCAAATTCTTCCGCAAATTTTCAGTTTCACTGACCTGAAGCAGAAGCAAAATTGATTATTAAAAATATAATTAATTAATCAATCAGAGATATAATTGATAAATTACCTCATCGCGCATTTGCCTCGATAGAGCTTCCAAGTGTTGCCCCGCGTTTTGCAAACTCTTACGTTCGACGTGACCAAGAGGCGTCAGAGATACTAAATTGTGCAATTTGATTATATACCCTGGAATCTGAAAACGAAATGAAAAGAAATTAAATAAAAGATCAGTTTCTTTGTTAATTGTTATTTAAACATTTCACAATTCAGTCAATGCAAAGATAGTTGTTATGGTATTAATTCTCCGCTTTAGTGATCGTTCATCGTTTCGCGAAGTTCAACATAAATGTATTATACTCTGATTGCATATAATGGCTGTTCAATCCGATTAATGGTTCTTGGGAGCATAATGCACCTGCTTCAAAGCGTATTTCTGTTTCCCAACTCCAATATTCTACCTTGTTCACGAGTAAATACGTTTTAATTTCTAATGTATGCACGTTGCACTGTCCCAATTTCATTTAGTCAAGTATTTTTCGTAGGAATTAAACCTTAACGTCTAATTCTTGATTCTTCATATTTTCAGTACCACAAAGTGAAATCGATATCAGAAAATGATTAAAGTGATTAAAGTTTCTTGAAGTAAAATCGATCTATTTAAGGATTAATTTAGAAGACAAATGACCCGACGTACCTGATGCATAGGGTACGTTAGGAAGGTCTCCAGGGAACGTCCTCCGCAAACAGACTTGTTCTCTAATCTAGTGAGCAATGCAACGAACGCAGGTGATTGTTGTTTGCATTCGGTCAACACCTGGAGACTATAATGATGATTCCTGACGTACTCTTGATAAATCGACAACATCGGTAGTAACATGTCGAACAAATCGCCTGAAATCATCAGCACCGATTTATTGCCAGTCCTCGATCTCGGGTAATGAGAGGCGTACCGATGACTATGGTGGGCCAACTCTCCATACGAGCTGTGAGACCCTTGAGGAAGATCTGATGAAGAAACAAGACGGTTTCACTGTTCAGAAAGATACTGTTCACGTCCTCGTGGCTGCATGGGGGTTTCTTTGAACTCGCAGCCATCTTGAGAGGTCTCAAGAAACAGCTCACCAATATCTCCATTTGCTCCGTGTACTCTTCCTCCGCCTCCACTATTTGAAACACTAAGCTGAAATTGTTAACAAACATGGAACATGAATCATTTTATGATCTGCCTCACTTCTTCGAAACGTTTCATTTCAACGCTTCGGCAAATAAAACGTTCAATTTCCTGAATAAATACAGCTTGGAATATCATCGAATCTCGTATCATGAATATTATCTAATCATCAGATTGCAGATTTTTATTCAAACAGTTAAATCAAACTCTGCTTTATTTTATACGTTACATGCACTGGTCACGTTCTTACAAATTTATTACAACAGCCCACTGCGTGCAAACTGAACGTTTATAAAAAAAATAGAGACACAAGTCAGAAACTCTGCATACGAGAGAAAGGAAGTTTTAATTCTGGAATTATTATCAAGTTTTTCTGAACGTGTGGGATCCGACGTAAGGATATCAATTTCATTCAGACGTTAAGCCATCGCTAGTACTGATTAGCGCATGGCTATGTCGAAGACATGACGCAATTAGCAAATCGGTTTCTCGCTCAAAGCTAATGAGTTTCCGCTTCGAGGAATTATTACTTCCAACAAATCTAAAGGGAAATGACGGACAGCTTATAAACGTGGTTCTCAGATTTCGCGAAACCGAATATTATTATGATTTCATACTATTCCCAATCTCGCCAACGAATTCATCGTTAAACGCGATGCTTTTAATGGTTGTTAATATTTGCGTTACGTTCGATATTTCTGTCACGCACATCGATTCAGCTATTTAAAGAGGAACGCATAAATGCGGGCATGTTCTCAGTCGCGATTGCAATTACAACTTCGATCGCTTTTTATTAACGAATTTCGTCCGTTAGTTGACTTTCCTATTCAACTCTCGATACGTTGTGTTATGACTCACAATGATAATTTGTATTTCCAATTTGATAATGAAGAATATTTGTCGCCAGAATTACTATATAAATTAAAGTATAATAATGCTTTAGGAATTGATATTTATTAAAAGAATTATTACTTTATGAAAGCAATTAATTAATTGCGTCGGAGCTGCGCCGTGTGCGCGGTTGACCATTAGTCAACAAATGCGCGAACGTATTAAATACCAAACGCTAGCGGGCAAATAATACCTACTCTGTATTACACGTGTTTATCAAGGTAAACTTTACCCTCAACCGCGGAACGTGTTTGCACAGAAGCATTTCATCTGAAGTGATCTATTACCACGCTCACACCACGCATCGGTTAGCTACACCGACATCCACTTTACGCTCGTTTAACCATTTTCATTAAGTTGAAAGTTCACTGCAGGATCGCTTAAAAAAATACAGTGACCGCGAAACAGGTTTAATAACAATTTAGCATTCTATGCCTTGAGACAATGGCAACGAAATTCAGTAGCAGAAATAAACGCGGTGAATAAAGTGTACCGAATAAACAATTTCAGAGACGGAGTAACTTTGCAAATTGAAATAATGAAAAACGATGATTATATTTGAAGCTACGATAATTGAACCGCACAGAAAACGCTATTAGCATCGCCGCATAAATTCATTTCAGATAATAATACGAATAATAATTGTTTATTTCTTCGCGCATAAAAAACATCAAACTTAATGAATTATGGTAGCGTGCGTTTAGGAATTGAAAAGTACTACTGACCTGTTCCTCCTACGCATGTTCTCTGCGTCAGGACTTTTTATGTATTGTTCCACGATCTGCTGCCACCGTCTGCGACAGAGCCAACCTCTTAAGAAGCTTTGAACCTTCTTTATCTTACGCATCTCGGCCTCAGTGATGTCTCGCATGCCAAACGGGGAACCGGGGCAGTTGTTATCGTCATTGAACAGTGACCCACTCATATACATACTTCCAGTGCCCTGAGACATGGTTCTCTGGACTCCTAGTCTCCTCGAATACGACGTCGACACCGATTCCTGTTGCTTCTTCAGACTGACCACCTGTAAAGAACGTTGAATATCGAGCATCAGTCCTGAACGAGTAAAACTGTATTGAATAAATCAGCCGGACGTGAATAAACGATGTGAAAAGTGGCTGCGAAATTGATTGAAAGCTCTGAAAATGATTTTCAGTGCTTCACAGGAAAGCGTGAATTTCCACGTTAGGAGAATTTGATAACGTCTTCAATAAAATTGCAATTGATAGTATCGTGAAACCTTTTGATCATTTTTATGGAAGGTTGAACGGCACGTTATGTAAACTGTAGACTTGACGTATCGGAAATCTTGTACAAACTTCAATACGTGTTCAGTGAAAGCATCTTCAGAGATTGAAAATCGAACCATGTAACAATACGTGACGGTTTTATTGACAGCCACGTAAAGAAATGATGCATCTGAGAAATGCAATATTCCTTTTACTTGCTTTTGAAATAACTGACGTTTTAATATGCATAACGATTAGAATAAATATTCATGCACGAAGACTTATTTATAAATTGCGCCATTAACATTTACACATTTTTTGTCAGTGTTTGTCGTATCAACAGTTAAAAAAGAAAAGTAGAATATAAAGGACTTGAGCAGATCTTTTTATCAACTCACTTCGGCCCGGAGCATATTTCTTTCCAATGTGAGGTCCTCGCATTGCTTAATGTACTGCCACTTGGCCGTTTTCTCGCTCTCGACTATTTTCAACAGGTGCAAGTGTTTCTGCTCGAGCTCCTCCTTTTGCAACAGCATTTTATTGAAACTGCAATCAATGACCACTAAGTTAACGGCCTGCCCTCCTGTGCTTACGTACTAAATGCATTCAAATTTAATCGCGACCTAGTCAAACCCTAATTACCGAGCTTTCGTGGGTTTATGCTCAACATTATTAACGTTAATACGTTAATACGATGAATTCTTGAATATGAAGTAAAATTTAATCCTCACCTCATAGAGTCAGAAAACTCATCTAAAATTATGCGATAGTCATTGATTTTATTCTAAAGACTGCTAAAAATGGAAGGAGGTTTCGATAAAAATTATTTCAAAAACTATTAATTTGTGTCATGTTCATTTGAACAGAAACTTGTCTATAATTTCTCGAGTGTTGCGAACGAAATGCAATTTATTAGGAATAAGTTTAATTATATTTGGTTTATTAATGCAGGCATAAACGTTGAATGCTCGAAAATTTAGCAATATGTCAAACAGGGATTGGAGTTCATGATCGATCAGTTTTGCGTCAGAGAATTCGTGAATCGATGGAAACAATAAACAACGTTCGGAGTGTAGCTTACGTTATGAAATATACAATGTGGCATTCACGTCATCTGCCAAACGAGAAGATATTATGCGCTATTATCAAAATGATTCGTTCTCCGCTGTGGAATTTTCGCATATTTCGACAAACATTAAAAGTCAAAATCGTTCAGTAAATATTCTTGTACGCCCGGCATAAGTGCCATTAAGTGTTTCAAATGTTAAAATCATTAGCTCTCTAACTGCAATTCAGTACATCTTACGTATACAATGTCAAAGGCATACCAAATTCCTGGGACAAGGGATGCTCTTCAAGTTAAGATCTGGGCTGCAAGTAAATTCCCGAGTAATCCTTAACAATTCCTGAGTGGTTATACCCTGAGAAACGTTCTACCACATCAGCGGAATCAAGTTTCCACAGCGTGCAATACAAGAACCTAATTGCACGTACCAAATTTACAATTACAAAATGTTTGCAAAATTGTTATTTATAACAATAGCCGTGCTGGTATTTATATATTATTGTCAATGGTGGTATTAAATTAAAAGAATCCATAATAAATTAGAAAGTTCACGGTTTAAGTAGTATTAGTACACCATTAGTCAGACAACGAGACTGAAGCACCTTTTGCTATTACATTTCCTTCTTTGTTTTAATCTGAACTGATTCGTGTCATCAACCAACAGACAGGAGCTTTAAAAAAGGACTGAATTATTAACCGTATTGATTATTCTCAATCAATTCACTTGAGATTTAAATATTTTATCCGTAAATGCAGATAACACCAATTTTTTAGCTGCCTCTTGGGTTAAAATTCGATCAATAGTCCATTCACTGGGACATCGAGCGACGTGTTCGGTATAGCGTCAGAAAAGAGCATGCTATTCCCGGAAGTGCGAATGCCATTACTCGGTCTTTTATCAAGAAGTAATCATAAGGATTAACTGAAAATAATTCTTAGTACTGCAATTGTATTTGTGTCTAAAGTAATAAAGTAAAGAAATTGTGTGCACCAGACAGACGTTGTTTATTAATCGTTCAAAGGGAACGATCTCGTTTTATTAAAATTCGAGGAACACGTTTTGCAAATTAATCTCGAGTTTGCTCAATGGAAAGTGGAACTATGGTTCTGATATATTTTCGTTGGAGATACTCCAAGTGTTTATCTTCGTTTACGTGATGGTACTATTGTTTTAAGAGAAGAAGAAAAAAGCGTTTGATGGACAACGTGCGTCGCCTGCGACGCACGAGGTGCTCGTTTGATACACCTGGAGGCATTGCCAGGACGATCACGTCCGTCTAACAGGCGGAGCCATTAAGGTAGCAACGTAAAAAAAAGAAGAGAACTGCGGTCTAGGAATTTATCTCTCGACGTACGAGCCCGGCAAATAATACAGAAAATAATTGTGCTCCTCATTTTTCAGCCCGTAAAGTACGGCCGTCTGGCCTGTCGTTCGTTATTAATTTCTTTCACGTGTTTCATCGTTACCAAACTTTTTACTTTCCGATATAGAACGATACAATGTTCCGAAGAGAAATATTTCATATAATGATAAAAAGTAGTAATCTCAGTCGCGTTATTAAATAATAAACGAAATAAAAGTGTGTGGCATGTCATTTCGCAATGTTCATCTTCGGTGAAATTATTTTCTCGCAGTGGTCTCTACCCCTTTGAAACACGGATATGTAAAATTTAATACAAACGCGAACACGTCTGATAGAACATACTCTCTGTTATTAAAACCGTCGTAATTCATCACCGTCAATCTCTGTTCAAATATTTTTCGTTCGGATTTCATTCCGAGCTTCACAGAGAACACATAAATCTCGCAGAATTCCTTACTTAACATGATTCACCGTACAAAACAGTGTCGCCTTCATTGGTTCGTTAGAATGCTAAGTATTAAAGTTACAACAGCCAATAATGCTATCTCTATCGAAACTCAGTAATTCTCTAAGTTCGCCTGTGTGTTAACGTTCAGGTTGTAATTAACTTTCGTCGTTCGCTAAAGCTTACCTCGAAATAATGTACGTATCAATTTTCCGTTATATCCTTTGCTTGTTCGCCTAACATTCTCGTTTTAATTACGCTAATTACGCACATAGTACTTACGCAGTAAGATCACTTGCCTCGTTTTCTGGCAGGATTTAGAACAAGTGCAAATAAAGGGAGATGATTAATTGAAGTACAGGGACTAAACGAAACATCCTTGTTATACAGGACAAGTACAATACAGCTTCGTTATTTAATTAAATTATCATGATGAGCCAAAATTTATATTAAATTTATATTAATATTCTTGTACTTAAATTCTTGTACTTCAATAAAATGCAATTCAATTTTAAAAGAGCTTTTAATGGAACCTGTAAATATTCTGTTAGTTCGTTCGAAACTCTTACAGTCTCATATTTAACTATTGAACAGGGAAAAAGAATTTGCAAGTAGATGCCTAACACATTCTCTTCGACGAACAGAAAACTGACAAAAGTTCCTGGGACGAATCCTCTTCAACTATGCATGCAGTATCGAAAAAAAGTTTTGTGGCAACCCAATACGTACCTTCCATCCCGTATAGCTTCGATCCACGTTTTGCAATCGTATTCCGTGTTCGCTTTCAGTTCGTATTGCCGTTGATTCTCTTTCCTATATGATATAGCGAAACAGAGCTGAAATCAACCGAGAATTATATTACGATATATCCTCTTATACATTAACGATTATTATCTACGCTAGA